ATGTTGTATTAATCAAAACAATGTGCAAGCAAGTCCTGAGTTACATTTTTGACACAACTGCCGAATTCCTTAAGACAAAGTCTCTATATAGTTCAGGCCTAGAACTCTTGATCCTCCCACCTGTCTCCTGAGTGCTAAGATTACCTTGTAGATAGCTTGAAGAACAGACACCATGCCAAAGGGGAAAAAAGAGGATGTACTGTGTAAAGTCATTTCTTACCAACCATATTAATTACTTGGAGGGCAGGAGGTGTTTGTAGCATCCCAATGTGGTGTTTCCTACTTACATAGAGATACTTTGCTTTGTTTTATTAATATGCAGTAAATTGGCTGGATGTTTTAGATGATTTGTAATAAATCTAAATTTTTCTCATTTAAAATAATGGAGCCAAGTGCAATTGTGTCTATCAGGAAGTTCTCTAGAGCTCAGGAGTTCAAAGCCAGTCTAGAAAACATCGTGAGAAAAAAAAAAAAGAGCAGGTTTCTGGCTGGATTATTCACAGAGAGACACATGCCCACATCAAAACTAGAGCCATCAAGCCATTAAAGTAAAAATCAGGAGGGGGGGGGGGGTTTGCTCACGACTTTAGGCAAGTCAGCCTCTTTAAGAGTCCATTTTTTCTTTAGTATTAAGAAAGTCATAAATTAACTTATTTGAAGGAAGTATATTAGAAAGCACACTTAAAGCTCTATCATTGAAAACCTCTGAAACATTACCTGCCTATATAGATGCCAATACTTCAGCAATCCAGCCAAGCTGATATCTTTTCTGAATAAATTAAAGCAAGATTTCCAGACAAGACCAGTCAAGTAGCAACGTTTTTGTATCTCTTCAATATGATTACTTTGTACTCTACAATCCAGATTGTTAATTTAGTGCTTTCTGGTACCGTACCTCTTTTGTCTTGAGCCAGTAAGATAATTACTGCTCTTTACCTAAATCTCTAGCATTTTCTAATTTTCAAATGAAATTATTTTCTTATATTAAAACCAAAGTTAATTACTGTTCAATCCTCAAGGCAATATTCAGCTGTTAGCTTTTATAACTCCCTCTTCTTAATCTAGGTAATTATTCTGCAGCCCAGGAATAGCAAGTTTATTAAAGTCACTCACACAAGTGTAGCCATCTTTTTCATTAAGCTGTCTCCAAGTGCCAGTTGACAGTTCTCCCAAGGGTACTCATAAGGACACTCTTACTTAAGCTCAGAAAGAGAGCACATACTATTTTAACTGGACTTTTGTAACTACTGGTACTGATGCAATGAATTCATAAATTAAAACAGGCCAGATAGTTCTGTCTATGGTTCCAATACTATCATCATTTAATTTTCCTCCCAAAGAGGTATTTCAAGGGGTAGGTACATGATTAACACACAGTGGACTGTCCTAGTCAGAACTGAGAGTTAATATCAGAAAAAGTATACTTTATGTGATTTCTTTCTTTCTTTCTTTTTGGGGGGGGGTCCAGTTGTGGGACCTGAACTCTGGGCCTGGGCGCTGTCCCTCAACAATTCAGCTCAAGGCTAGCACTCTACCACTTGAGCCACAGCGCCACTTCTGGCTTTTTTTCTTTTTGCTTATGTGGTGTTGGGGAATTGAACCCAGGGCCTCATGCATGCAAGGCAAGCACTCTACCACTGAGCCACCTTCCCAGCCCCCAGAAAAAGTATACTTTAACACCTACTTCCCAACATGATGCAATGGCATGATCAAAAAGCAGTCTTAGGAAACCACTGTATGGAGCCACAAAAACGGTAAGGCCAAATTTAAAAAACCAAATGTTCAAGCTGGTCACAGTGGCACATGTCTGTAGTAGTCCCAGTTACCTGGGAGGCCCAAGCACAAGGATCACTTTAGCCAAGGAGTTTGAAGCCAGCTTGGGTAACACAGTGAGATGCTATCTCAAGGAAAAACAAAACAAAACAAAAACGACTGCTTGGCATGTATACATAAAAGCTAAAATGAACACAATAAGAGGAACGTTTATCTGTTTTTGGACTTCTACAGTTATTTAAAAGAAAAATTCATGTTCTTTGTCAATGGGTGGAATGGTATAGGTGACAGTCTGGATCAGGATTTCAATCTGCCAGAGTCTATTTAATCTTATTCTAGAAATAAATGTAGAAAATGATTTAAAATGAAGGCTATTCATTGTAATAGGGAATAGTATAGATATTCATTTCTCAATAGGGAAATTGATAAATTACCATCTATAACAGGTTAGATAACTATGTTAAAGAATACTGAATGAAAGCTGGATGCTGGTGGCTCACGCCTGTAATCCTAGCTACTCAGGAGGCTGAGATTTGAGGATCACGTTCAAAGCCACTCTGGGTAGGAAAGTCCATGAGCCTCTTATCTCCAATTGACCACCAGAAAACTGGAAGTGGTGCTGTGGCTCTAGTGGTAGAGCTAAAGAGCTGAGGGACAGAGCCCAGGCCCAGAGTTTAAGCCCCATAATCAACCAAAAAAAAAAAAAAGAATACTGAATGAGCCAGACACCAGTGGCCTGTAATCCTAGCTACCAGGAGGCTGAGATCTAAGGATTGCAGTTTGAAGCCAGTCTAGGCAGGAAGGCCATGAGACTCTTATCTTCATTAAACTACTCAGAAAAACAGTAAAGAGCTGTTGCCTGGTGTTTGGTGATTCACACCTGCAATTCCAGCTAGGGAGCCTCTAACTCAAAAAACAAGCCAGAGCTGGGTGCTGGTGGCTCATGCCTATAATCCTAGCTACTCAGGAGGCTGGGATCTGAGGATTGTGGTTCAAAGTCAGCCCAGGCAGGAAAGTCAGTGAGATTAACCACCAGAAAACTGGAAGTGGCTCTGTGGCTCAAGTGGCCCAGAAGCCAGCCTTGAGCTGAAGAGCTCAGGGTCAGTGCTCAGGCCCAAAGTTCAAGCCCCATGACTGACAAAAAAAAAGGGGGGGAGAGAGGGAAGGGATGGTAAGGGGAAAAACAAAGGAGGAGGTAACAAGGCTCAATAGGAAATGTACTGATTACCTTACTCATGTAACTGTAACTCCTCTGTACAGTATACAAAAAAAAAAAAAACAACCAGGTGAGTTGGAGATAAGGCCCAGTGGAAAAGTGCCAGCCAATGAGCAAAAGTGTAGGATACTAAGTTCAAGTTCTGGTGTTAGACCAAAAAAGAAAAAAAAAGTCAGACATATTGATGAATGTCTTTAATCCTAGCTACTCAAGAGGAGAATATGGCAGTCTAATATGTTCATAAAGGAACAGCAATGGCGGGGGAGAGGCAGACACAGGAATAGAGGGAGG